TCCAACTTGCACGGGGAGTAAAAAATTTTTATACATTTTTTGTGGACTTTAGTCGTGGACATTTTACAAGTTGAGTCGCTTAGGATTATCTACTAAAGTGCTGAATTTGTTAAACAGTATGTTCGCGAGTACAAATCGGCAGTTTAGTCAAGGGAAGGTCTATCTGAATGGTTTGACTGTAATGTAGGAGTGAGACAGGGAAGTCCATTACTGTTTGCACTTTTTGTGAATGACCTACATGAAACACTGGGAGGCGGTTTGGAGATAAATGGTTTAATTATAAGACTTTTATTACATGCAAATGATTTGGTTTTGATAGCAATCAATCCGAAGGTGCTACAGCGGAAACTACAAAGAACTGTGGGAAGAAGGAGTAAACATGCATTATCTACTGGAAATGAAATTTTGGAGACATTCGATGTCTCTTCAAATTAAGATGTGGAGTTTTATCTCTATATTTAAATGATCGACCTGAATGTGTAACACGAAGAAAAGGAAGATGTGATACATTTTTTGGGAAAATCTTCAGTGTTGAGACATATTAGGTTAAAGTGGTTGGGTAGATATGAATTTAGTAGAGTGGAAATCGTTACTATGATAAGACAGGGAAAAGCTGAGTTAGCACGTTATTGTAGGGAGGCATGGGCGTATAGTTAGTGAGCCTATTTAATTATTAAATCTATTAGCATGGTGTTATTTCAATAGGATGAAAATATTAAAATTAGTATTAATAATTTGTTTGCGAATAGCTATTATCTTTTTTCTGTCTTATCTATCTTGACTATCTTGTTATTATTATTATTATATCAACAGCTGTCATTCCCTCTAAGGGACACATTCAATCATTTTAAATGCAATATATACCTTACTTTTATACATTGTTATTACTGTTTAGTCTAGTGCGAAGTGCTACTTAGTAGGATGTACACATTTAGTTTATTACTAACATTTACATGAATATTTACTTAATTTATTTTTTATTCATTTTAATGAACTTGTTGATGTAATGAGCCTTAGTGTAATTTTTTGTATATTAATTAGGGAATAATATTAGTTTGCCAACCCTTCTGATGACATGTGTCAAGAACAAATGTCACTAAAAGAGAAAATTGTATTTTTTTATGAGAAATAAAAAGGCAGTATTGATTGAAAGTATCAATCAAATGTAATGAAACAATAAAGGAGAACGTCAAAAGGAAAATAAAAACGTGGGATCAGAAGTACTACCAAATATAAAGGGATTCGAAATAGAAAGAGCTTTAAAAGAGCTATAAAATAATAAAGCTGCAGGACACGATGGTATAATTCCCGAGCTCTTGAAAACAAGCATTAACAATCCCTGTACTAACAGAGCTATTTAATAGATGTCTCCATAATAGCAAGATTCCTAAAGACTAGAACGGGAGTCTAGTAATACTCTTACACAAAAAAGGGGACAAATGTGATCTACAGAATTATAGACCTATATCGTTGCTCAGTCAAGTATACAAACTATTTATGAGAATTATTAACAACCAGTTGACCTACAAAATGGACAATTACCAACCGGTTGAACAGGCTGATATGGTACTTAAATAAGAAAGTTGTCTCTTATAATAAACTACATATGTAATTAACTCATAAGTAGAAAGCGTTTTCTGAAGATCAAAGACTAAAACTGATATTTTTTGGCTGTGATTCTTTTGCTATAATTTAATTTTGCTTTTGATTTCTTTAACTGCTTATGCTTTTCTTTGGGAAATTCCAATTCAACTTTTGCATCCTGTTTAGGCTCTTCTGAAGTATTAGGTGATTTTATTTCAGTATTAAGACTGTCACACTTTTGACAAGTATCTTTAAGTGGTATATGAAAATGTAAATTCAACTCGGTGTTTAATTTGTATTTTTCATAATTTTACCAAATATAAGCAGAAGGTTTTCTTAAGTCTTGTGTGTATTTTTTTTCATACTCTCGATACATGATCGACATGTAGTTGGTGAAAGATATTTTTTTTATGTTATCTCGTCGGGATTAATGAGATTCGTATACTGGGAACAGTTCCATAAAGCCACGTAAATACTGCTCGTCTTCAATATTGGTTTTATAATGTGGTGGATGTTTGCCCATTGCATCTTGAAGAGGTGTTCCATGTTCTTGTTTTTGTGATAAATCATGTGAAAGTTAACTTTAAATAAAAAATAAATTTTTTATGATAAAAACATTTTTTTTTTAAGAAAAGTTAATATCTTAAATTACCTAAGTTTTATTATTCTAATATCTTTGTTCAACAAATATTGACACATATGTTTAGGAACTCCTATGTTTAGGAACATTTGCCATAAAGAAAACTAAAACAAGTAAATTGCTTAAAACGAAAATAAAGGTAAACATAAAAGAAATCTCCAACTTATTAGCTAAAAACATATTTTAGTGCGTATTTGTAATTTTCATGTATAATTGCCTGTTCTAAGCTTTCATCTAATGCTTCGAAACTATCTTTCAATCCAGAATAAAAGCTATAAAAGCTGTGGGCGGTCTTTGGTTTTCTTGCTTAAATCAACCTAATAAAACAAACCCATATCATATGCTGTACATTTTACATATATTTTTTGGTTTATTTTTAAGATTTAAGCCATTCTTAAGCCATTCAACTGTTCCGCCAGTTATAATAACATTTCAATTGATTATCTTATTCGCAAGGGACGTGCTACAAAGAACTCTAGTTAGTTCATTCTTTTAACCTGAAATTTTGGATTTTTCTTTTGGCTGATTAAATGATGGAAACCCAATCATCGGGATCAAAAATTCGATCATGGTGGTTTCTTTCTTTTTCCACAACCCAAAATCTTGATAGCATATATTAAAACTATGTCCAGATACAAAAAAATCTTTGTTCTATATCTTTAAGAGATCATTTACACTTTTGAAGGTAATTGGTTGACATTAAAGCCACCTTTAGATTCAGATTCTGTCCTCCGCAAGAGTCGCTCTACAAAATCAAATATTCAGGTGGGTCAGATAAGTGCATCTTAAGATGGTTTATTAAACATGAAGCTACCTATTCAGCTCATCGGGATGCCACATTTTCATGCCAGATATATATTTCCTGTTACTGTGACTTCACCGTGGATGCCTAAATTATACGTCCACAGTTGTCTCTTATAATAAACTGCACATGTAATTAACTCAGGAGTAGAAAGCCTTTTCAGAAGATCAAAGACTAAAACTGATATTTTTTTGCTGTGATTCTTTTGCTTGAATTTAATTTTGCTTTTGATTCTTTTAACTGCTTCTGCTTTTTTTGGGAAATTCCAATTCAACTATTGCATCCTGTTTACGCTCTTCTGAAGTATCAGGTGATTTTATTTCAGTATTAAGACTGTCACACTTTTGACAAGTATCTTTATGTGGTACATGAAAATGCAAATTAAACTCGATGTTTAATTTATATCTTGCGTAATTTAGCCAAACATAAGCAGAAGGGTTTTTTTAAATCTTCTGTGCATTTTTTTTTTATATTCTCGATACATGATCGACATGTAGTTGGTGAAAGATATTTTCTTTTTATGTTATCTCGTCGGGATTAATGAGATTCTTATACTGGGAACAGTTCCATAAAGCTACATAAATACTGATATCTAATATCTAATATCTGATATCTAATATTGGTTTTATTATGGGGTGAAGTCACAGAAACAGGACATATCTATGTCTGGCCTGAAAATGTGGCATCCCAAAGAGCTGAAGAGATAGCTTCATGTTTAATAAAACATCTTGAGATGCACTGATCTCACCCAACCGAATGTCTGATTTTGTAAAGCGATGCTTACGGTGGCCAAAATTGAAATATAAAGGTGGCATTAACGTTAAGCAATTACCTTTCAAAGTTTAAATCGTTTCTCAAAGATATAGAACAAAGATTTTTTGTATCTGGATATAGTTTCCAACTCACTAGACTTTTTTAGTAGCATGTCCCTTGAGAATAATACAACACATAGAAAGGTTACTATAGCTGGCGAATAGTTGAATGCCTTAAAAATGGCTTAAAAATGGCTTTGATCTTAAAAATGAACCAAAAAAATGTATGTAAAATGTACAGCACATGATATGTTTCATTAGGTTGATTTATGCAAGAGAACCAAAGACCGCCCACAGCTTTCACAGCTTTTATTCTGGATTGAAAGATAGTTCCAAAGCATTAAATGAAGGCTTAGAAGAAGAATTATACATGAAAATTAAAAATACGTACTAAAATATGTTTTTAGCTAATAAGTTGGAGATTTGTTTTCTGTTTATCTTAATTTTTGTTTTGGGCAATTTCCTTCTTTTAGTTTTCATTATGGCAAATGTTCATAAACCTAGCTTCATACACAAGTTACTCTAGAAATATATTTTTTGTTACGGCAAATGTGTCTATACTTTTTGAACAAATAAATTAGAATAATAAAACTTAGGTGTTTTAAGACATTATCTTTATCAATAAAATGTTATACTTTTTTATCATATTTTTTTTTTTATTTAAAAGTTAACTTTGTCATGATTTATCACAAAAACTCCTCTGTGTAACTTAGTCACCTTTGCCTCTAAGCCACCCATTTGACGTTTCGATTTTTACTCCGGAAACCATTTTCAAAAAAATTATTTAATCTTTTATTGTAAAAACGATTGCAATTATTACAATTATAAAATCTAATTTTCGTTACAGTCAAATGTGGCTTAATCAAATAAATATATATTATTTATTATTAACCATACTATTAACCAGTATTACCATTTTAAAACTATAAAACTAAACAGAAAATCGGAAATAACCCACCTTTTAAGAAATATAATACCTTCCAAGCGTGAAAACTAACGAAAATAGCTCTGACTCATTTCTCTCATAAACCACTTGGATCAATAAGACATTTTATGCTATTTTATCTCGGTTTTGTAAAAATACTATTCATGGCTTATGAATACTAATACTTGTTGGCAACAAGATTTAAAAATACCAGCGAATTGTGTATTGTTAACTTACCTGTCAACGTTTGTTTTGGATAAATTTGTTTATGCGATTTAAAAGTGTGCGTTTATTCAAGAGCGCGAATCAAGAGCGCGGTAATAACAAATCCGTTGTGTTTAAACGCGAAATGCGATGCAACTGTGTGATGCGAACTGTGAACAAGACGAACGCACAAACCTCGTCCCAGCGTATTAAATCGATTGTTAAACGATCAAACTCTAGTGAATCGAGAGTTTATGAGTGTGTATGATTTCATTAAAAATCGATTTACATACTTAATCAAAAATTGTATCGGTACGATAAAGGAACAGACGAGAATGTAAGAATGCTGAAAGTGTTTTCTTGTCGTATGTTAAGTTAAATATTATTTTTTATTTATACACTGCGCTCCAAAATTAACGCATAATTTTAAAATTCTTATTTTGAGTTGTAATGAAAAAAATTTTGTTTGTTCTTTTCTGCTTTATGGTTGTTTTAGAACATCTTAAATAAAACTATTCTTTTTTTACAAAAAATGTATTGAAATTAACAATATAACATCCTAACATAAATCATAACATCTAAACGAACTGATCTAAACAAACTAACATCATAAATTAATGAAGAAAAAGTTTTTAAAGTTGAAGAAAATACTACTACCGTGTACTAGTATCGAGTATTGTCTCCTCTGGCATTTATTACTGCTTGACAACGATCTCTCATACTGAGAATAATCGTTCTGATTTCTTCTTGATCAATTTGATCCCAAATTTCAACCAACCGCAAAAACAGTTCATCTAATGTGTTTGGTGCATTAGGTAGTTGTCGTAGTCGTCTGCCTATGATGTCCCAAACATGTTCTATTGGGTTAAGGTCAGGACTTCTCGCAGGCCAATCCATGGCAGGAATTCCAACCTCCTGACGATACTGCTGCACAATTCTTGCCGTGTGTGGCCTGGCATTATCTTGCATAAGCATGAAATTATCCCCAATAAATGGTACAAATGGCACGACATGCTCTTCTAAAATGTCTGTTATATACCTCTGCGATGTAAGCCGACCGTGATTTATTTAACTAATTCCGTACGAGCCTCTAAATTAATCCCACCCCATACCATTACCGAGCCGCCGCCATACTGTACAGTCCCTACGGTGTTACACTGTGCGTAGCGTTCCCCAGGCCTTCTATACACTCGGTTTCTCCTGTCATCAGAAAAAAGACAGTACCTGGATTCATCGGTGAACAATATTCTTCCCCAATCGTCATTATTCCAATCAACATGTTCACGAGCAAAATTCAATCTTTGCCTTCTATGGTCTCTGGTCAATAATGGGCCAATAGGTGCCCTTCCAGGGTGTAGGTCGTTTTCGGCAAGTCTTCTTCTAATTGTATTTTGGCTGATTCTAAAGTTATAACGATCCAAAAATTCATTTTGTAGAGAAGTACTGGAAACAAACCTTTGTCTCAGTGTACGAAGTGTCAAAAACCGGTCTTGATTAGGAGTTGTAACCCTTTTACGGCCTTGACCGGGTCTTCTCGAGTTACTTCCAGTAACAAAAAACGTGTTAACACTCTTGAAATTGTTGACTGGGTGACGTTAAAACGTTCAGCGAGTTCTACTTGAGTGTATCCTTCTTCGCGAAGAGTAACGATTCTAAAACAGTCACTTTCTGACAAATTTCGATTTTCTTGCTGCGGGTGGTTCATTTCAAAGAAAAAACACTTAATAAACTTGAAAAACCCTTTAAACGTTCAGCACAACGAAATCCAACCCAACTAAATTCGAAATAAAATGAAGCACAATTAGCATGTTTTTAATTTTTTGCAAAAAAATGATAAAAACATCAGCGATCAACGATAATATATTAGCACAAAAATCGAAACATTAAAATTATTTAATTTACCAGGGTTTTTAAAATTATGCGTTAATTTTTGGGGTGCCGTGTATTATATTTGCATGTATTGGACATATATTACTGGACATATCTTACTAATTAGGAAAAAAAGTTAACACCTAATATTTGACACTTATTTTTCAAAATCGTATATTTTGTTTCACTGTGTGTGACACAAAATAACGGGCGCAGGAATTTTTTCATAACTAAGTGAAATGATTCTTCGGTCGTCAGAGACCAAAAAATGCGACTGAACCTCTAAAAATCATATGAACAAGCTGAATTTTGTTAAGAATATCAATTTTGCAACTCCAAAAAAGATGTAATAAAGTTTACTACTTTTATCCAACGGCTTTCCCTTACAACAGTTAAAAACAGAAAAAACAGAAAACGAAAAAATCGATTTACCAAAAATCTGCAAGCAGTAGAAAAAATGTTTAAATAAAAAAGTAGCTGAGATAATTTTAATCAAAAATGTTAATTTTTTTTTTTTCTATTACGTTTTGTGTAGAATGAACCGTATTCTCAGAAACAACTCTTTAGGCGTTCGGCGATTTTGCATGTCAGTTACGCACGCGAAATCAATTTTAAATAAAATTTGTATCAACTCGGTGGTAAAAATTCGATATCTTTTGATCAGAAGTAAAAATCTTTTTAAAGCAAATAGTTTTACAACTCCTGGTTTAGAGAAAGATATTACATATTTATTATTACTTCACACCAACAGTTATTACAAATAATATTAACATAATTTATTAACAAACCTTACATGTTGGACGCTATTTGTAACTATATAACAAGTTCCAGACGTTGGGCGATACTTGTAGGAATTTAAATTATTATTGTAAATGAACAATATCTAAATTTTTCAACGGAGCTTATATTAAGGTTAACCTTTAAACAAAACAAATTTCAAAATTATGGCTATGTACCAAATGTCAGAAAAGGATAATACTGACTGTAATATGTCGAACTAAAATAATAAACCTTTTTAAAATATTAAATATTAAAATTATCTGCATGTAAAAGAAGACTAATTTGACAATTAGCTATCCATAATACTTTATTTATAATTTTATTTATTTATAATTTTTTAGTTTGTCATGAAAGCAAATTTTTTATTAATGAAAAATTTGGATACAATATATGTTTAAATGACCTAAGGAAAAATATTAGCAATCATCCACCCTGCTCTTATATAATAACAGGTTGTCACCAATGTACCTTTTCCCCAGCAATTACAATGTATACCCAATTTGGACTTAGCCAGTCCAAACCAGCAGATGACTTAGCATGCCAGCTTGGAGATACAAGTATCATTTATCATGGCCATTTCGTATCCCAACTCACGTATATCACGTATTAATTTTACGTAGCACATTTTTCTTCCTCTTCTTCATGTACCATGTCCTTTCAGAACGTTGGTTACCATCATAGCTATCTTAATTTTATTCACTGCCACCCTAAATAGCATGCTTGTATTAATACCATACCAATCTCGCAAGTTCTTCAACCATGAGGTTCTTAATGGAACGCAGAAGGTTAATTAAAGGAAATAAAGATGAGTTTAAAAAAATGCAGGCTTACATCAGAAGAAAAATAAGAGAAACTAAAAAAAAGAAGCTGTAGAGAAATGTAAAGAAATAGAAAGACTACAAGCCAAGCATGTCAATTTTAATGTACACAAAAAGGTAAAAGAAATAAAGGGTACTTTTAAAAAGCGAACACAAATGAAACTCATAGACACCAATGGAAAATTAATCATTGACACCCAAGAGATGAAAGACAAATGGAGAATATATTTGAAGACACTTTTTCAAGATCAAAAAACGGATTATAGGCATTCATTTTCAGAGAGGATGACGGGCCCGGACATACTTAAATCCGAGGTAGAAGAAGCAATAAAACAGATGAAAAGCAGGAAGGCTATAGGGCCTGATAATATCGAAGCTGAATTTTTAAAACTCTTGAAGGAAGAAGAAATAAATTACATCACGGCTGTCTTCAATAAAATATAGAATACAGGAGTCGTCTCTGATAAATGGCTAGAATCAGAATTCATAGCGATACCTAAAAAACAGGGGGCTAAAAAGTGCGAAGAATATCGAACAATTAGCCTAATGGGCCACATGTTGAAACTGTTTCTTAGAGTCATCCATGGAAGAATTTATAAGAAGTGCGAGGAACAAATATCGGACAGACAGTTCGGCTTCATTAACGCAGTGGGTACCAGAGAGGCACTTTTCGGAGTACAAGTACTGATTCAAAGAAGCAAGGACGTTAATTGCGATGTATACGCGTGCTTGATCGACTATGAAAAGGCATTTGACAGAGTTCAACATCAAAAGATGATAGACATTTAAAAGAGGCAGACCTGGATGACAAAGACCTCAGAATAATTTCAGAACTCTACTGGAATCAGACCGCATACATGAAAATTAACGGAGAAGAAACAGATCACATAAAAATACTACGTAGAGTTAGACAGAGATGTATCCTATCGCCGTTGATATTTAATATGTACTCAGAGAAAATTTTTAACGAGGTTCTTTATGGAATAGACGAAGGCATCCTTCTAAATGGTGAAAGAGTAAACAATGTTAGATATTCCGACGACACCATGTTGATAGCAGATAGTTTAGAGGAACTTCAGAGGCTAATGGACAGAATAAACGAGTACAGTCAACAGTACGGACTAAACATTAATACCCACAAAACGAAACAAATGATTATCAGCAAGGAGAATATAAACGGGGCTCATCTATATATTAATGGGACGCAGATAGAGCGAGTAAAACAGTATTGCTACCTGGTAACTATTATAAACGAACAGTGGAGCAATGTACAGGAAATAAAGTGCCGCATAGGAAAGAGCGCCATCTTCAAAAGTCACAACATATCCCTAGATACAGAAATGAGACATATGAGATGCTATGTTTTCTCTGTGTTGTTGTACGGGGCGGAGGCATGGACGCTTACAGACACCACTATTAAAAAACTTGAAGCATTTGAGATGTGGCTTTAATAGGACGAATGCTGCGAATATCATGGACAGCAAGGATCACGAACAAGGAAGTTCTAGGAAAAATGAAGAAGGAACCAGAGATTGTGTTTACGATCAAACGTATAAAATTGCAATATCTGGAACACGTTATGAGAAATCAACACCGTTACTCCCTGCTGTAGTCTATATTGCAATGTAAAGTCAAAGGTAAGCGAAGACCCGGTAGAAGGAGAATATCATGGGCTGCGGAATTT